AAGTTCAGTCTTGATCTAGGTTGTCTGATTTGCAGTTTGATATCTTAATGCTATAATTAATTAATTAATTAGATTTTTAAGGTTAATTGAATATTTATAAATTATTAATAAAATTTAGTTTTATTAATAAACTTATCAACTTAAGTAAAAATGAGAACAATCAATTTAAAGTTTCTAATGCATTATATGGAACTAGGTATTAATTAATTCTAATTTTCATGCGTAACTTTTAGTTTTCAATCAAATATCCAATATATTTATTTAGAAACTTACAACCATATCTATTGTAATATTCAAATGGTCTTGTTAACTCTTTCTCTATCACTCTATTATTTAAATAAATTCTTGGTGTATATGATTGTGTAGAATATATATTCGGGGCACTTTAATATTAGTCAAGAATAAACTTTGTTACGAAATATTGCACTAAAAGCAATAGGCATTCAAAACAAATAAAATCTTTGATATGGATTGCAATAAAGAAATTGATAACAAATAAGTGCATTAATATCAGCGTACGATTGAAATGACGAAAATAATTGCATTTTCGTGACAACACTTAATTGCAATTCACCTCAATATATGATACCAATTATCTATTTCACTCCAATTCCGTACATTCTCTAATATTTATACCTAATTTTCACGTCACTTATAATATCAATAAATGACACATTTTACAAAACCAATCGTTATATAAAACATTAATAAACATCGATAGCAATTGTAATGTTCATCAAACCTTATGGTTATATTCAAAATTAGGATCACTTTTCAAATTACATACACTATAATAATTTATTAAAATAATAACATAGTTTCAATATTTAGACATACAAGTAATTTCTATACTTAACTTTGAATGATTACAAAACTCTATTTTGATAATAAAGTTTGTATTGCTTTAAGTGTTTTGAACGGAATATTCTATGAATTATTTTTTTGATACAAACATTAGTCCAGGAATAGTCTGAATCATGAAATCTTTATTCTAACAGAAAATGTCATTTTTGATTTAAAGTTTGTATTGCTTTAAGTGATTTGAACGGAATATTCTATGAATTATTTTTTTGATACAAACATTAGTCCAGGAATAGTCTGAATCATGAAATCTTTATTCTAACAGAAAATGTCATTTTTTCACAAATAATCAAATAATAATAATCTGTGGGAATGACTAAACGAATTACTAAATGATTTCATGATTTCTTTTGTCATTTTCTGGCTGTCATTCAATCGATTGCATTGAAGGCATAAAAATCTAAATATTGTGCACTTTGTATGACATTCAATACTTTCTCATTAGACTAACATTTATTTGATCAATAATTGATATCTAGATTTTCAAAAATAATAAATGTAACAATCATTTAGTACTCATATAATCGACGAAAATTATGAATTTATTTATTATAAATTATCAAGATATGAATATACAAAGCACTCACAGATTTGAAACTAAAATATATTATAATTTAATGCTCAGTCATAGAGTTATTGATAGATTGGTGTAAATGTGCGGACGATTGCCACTGAAAGTTGTCGCGAAAAAACCACTTTTGACTTATTTGGTCGCCTTCGCATTCTTTTACTACTAATTGAGCGTGGTCACTGATATCTAGACACAAATTAGTAAACTCATGAGTTAATGTAAGACTATTGGTATCATATATCCATTTCTGATAAACATCACTATCTATACAACTTCTCATCGAAACTTTTTCGTTAATGCTTTCTAAACAATTTTCATCGTTTTGTATTTGATTTTGTTTCGTATAAATAAATAGTTGGTTATAAACTATTTGTTCATTTTTATTCAATGAACAATCATTCAACACAAGAGTTCCCTCTTCGGTGTGCAAAGTATCCAAACAGAGGTCTTCTTTGTTCATATTTCGTATGTCTCCCAAAAAGTTGTAGTCTTGAGGCAACTGAGACTCAGGGTATATCTTATCTAAATACCATTTAAATGACTTTTGAAATAAGTTTACAAATTATTAATACATTTATAAGAAATTCACGAGATATTCATTTACTTTACACTTTCGTTGCTTTCGAAATAATACCCTTTCGTCGATACTTTCACGTCTTATAAGTCGGGCGCCGGGATGTAAGGCATAAAAGAATTCTTTCCACTCATCCAACCAGACATCAACCAATCTTGCGGTGTTGTGCCACACAATGTAATTACTTCCCCCGGGAAGGGTATACGGAGTTTTGCTTCGAAATACGTGCCCAACTCTGGAACAGGTGACGATTTCTATACTTCCTCCACACATCCATATCTCGTATAATGAAATACATTTGAATGATTTGAAATAAATAATAAACTAAGAAATAATAGTTCAATAATACCCTAAAACTAAACTCGAGATTCTCTGCGCCCCATATAATCATTTTGGAGTCATATTTGCCAATGTATTCAAAGAACTGTCGGTCGATTGCAAAGAGTCCACCCGAAAGAGTGGGACTTCTGTTCAGTCATATAAAGTTATATTGATATTGGATTACCATTAGGTGTTACAGTAGATGATAATATTAAATAAATACCTGAGAGGTAGGGATCGGTCGTTATTCCTTCTTATAAGCTCTCTATCGGGTGCGCTATACCAACGAAACCCTTTGAAAATGAATTCATATGTAATTGACATGAATAATAACTTTAAAATATTCTACATTTGCTAAAATAATATGAATTTTAAAGAAATTAAAATCTAAAATAATAACCTATCTTCCAATTGAATCCTCCGTATGTCATATCACTTGCTGTATTGTACGCAAAATTGTTTTCATCGATCACATCGATTATGGGACAAACGACACGAGTTCTGTTGCAGTCATTTGTTAACAGATTAGATGTGAAAGATATGTTTCATTATATTTATAACAATTCATATCAAACATACCGGTCATCAGCTATCCGGTCGAGTAAGGGCTCGAGCCATCCCTCATTGCATTCACAGTGAGAGTCAAGGAAGACAAGTACCTGTCCCTTGGCATGAGCTGAGCCCAAAAGTCTGGCCTGAATGAGACCAGATCTGCGGCCCATACGTATGATTTTCATTGGCACCGATAGTTGTCTTACATAATGGTTGAGGTGTTGTTTTAAGTAAACTAATATTTAAAATATAACTCATAATAAGTTTGTGGTAATATGAAAGAAAGCTAACCTTTAGTGGAAGAGTCGTCCACTAAAATGATTTCCAACAGAAGATTAGATGAAGTTTTAATAACACTATGAAGAGTGCGAATGAGTGTTGAAAAGGCCTCGTTGTGGAAGACTATTATAACGCTTGCATTTGGCAATTCATTTGCATATTGTTTCGTTAGACAACTAAACCATTTGAAAACATCAATGCAATTATCATGTATTATCTGTCACTTAACTTTAACTTCTAATTATTTATAATACCTTTCCATTCGAGAGTCCTTTAAAGTGCGGTTCAAAGCAATCCTATCACTCGCCAATATATTAAACTGTTGTACTTTAAAGTATTTATCATAAGTCTCTTGGTCTTCGGGAACAGTAACTCCTTGACCTAACTCTCCCGGCCATTCCTGTGGGTTAGGAATACCTAATTCTGTTGAAATCCAAATATTCAAATAATTGTATATTTATTATAGTGTAATTGATACTAAGTTACAAAATTGCACACACTTTTAGGTTGCCATTCAAAAAGTTGATCACTATTATATGAGTTTAATATTAAATTATCTTGATTGCAATGTATTTCATTGGATAAGAATATTAAATTGATAAGAAATTTATAAAATATAAAACTATCAAATGTTTTCATTTCACTATTTTGAAATAATGTTTTTATTTATATTTATCATAAAAAAGATTTAGATTTTTTATTGTTTTAAAATGAAATGCTAAAACATTTGTAATTTATTCAGCATTTTTATTTGAATGTTTATTTGAACATATATTAAATAATTTATTTTAGTTTCAATTAATACAAAACATATGGATTTATACTGACATCAAACTATAGTCTAAAATGTGTTTTTATAAATATTTTTATTAAATAAAATGAATTAACAAAAATAAATTAGTTACATGTATTTCTATATTCGGATTAGTATTGAGTGAACGGTTTTGTACTAAATCATCACTAATTCAATAGTATTTCGATGAGTATTTCAATAATAAGTATTGCAAACCATTTTAGAAATAATAAATTCTACACAAAAGATATACCAATGCTTTTCACTACTATTTTTATATAACACAATATTTTGAAATGTTTTTATCAATATTATTGCAATATTGATATATTAAAAAAATCTCCAAGGAGTCACTGATATACCACTTATTTAACGTTTATTATATGAGCGAAGTTTAATAACTTTATAACAAATGTTTTAAAAACTTCTTTTCAGCGGACAATAAAATTTTAATTGATTATTAAATAGACTTTATGATTTTATATTACTTTGCCCTTAAATTATTACTTATTTTAATCCTTATGAAATCCTTATTAAAATTCTTTGTACAATATATACAATAGTGAACATTTTCATTGAGACTAACTTAACGTTATAAAATACTAATAAGTCTTAAGAGTTATTGTGCCTTTCTTAAAAATGACACAAAAAAGCTTTCACTTATTATAAACATTTATAATATTGATATCTAAATTCCAATGATAAGCACTAAAATTATGATTAAAAATTAGTTTTCAATTTTTATACAAGAATTGTTTCATTAAAATTTAAATT